TCAGTAACTTTGCACGATGCAAAGACCGAAAGCTGAAATTACGCAGAAATACCACCCATCCTGGAACGACTTCTTTTGATATTTCAGCATTTGTGCTGTTTTGGCCTTTTGGGGCTAAATTTACAGTTCGGCTTGTCCAGCTTTAAAAATTGGCGAACAAGGTCGCTCTACATGCAGATTTGTTAAGCCCTCAGTTTCCTCTCTGAGCATTCCAGAACACAAATACCAATTTGAACAGTGATATTGTTGCAGTTTATGCTTTAAAGTGTACTGGATTTCATCGTTTGTGACCTCAGCATTTGCGTCTCTCGTTATGTCCGTTGTACTTAAAATATTGTTCATTAATTTGATGCCGTATTTATTGATTTGATTAAAATATGTTCCCCAATGTTTATTAAACACACATCGCAAAATCCAGATCGCATTCGCACGAAAAAATAATTGGCCAACGCACGGGCTGTCCATGCGAAGATGCGTTTTTTGCATAGTTCCCTGCAGATTTTACCGCTACCGGCATCGGTTTTTCCGGCAAATCCTTCTAGCTAAACAAATTAAGACTAGCCGCCAAAATTGGAAGGGAACATCCCCTCAAAATTTCAGCTTTCTAGCTTTTCTGGTTCCCGAGTTAGCAACTTACCCGCAAAAAACTTTCACTTGCAAATACTTGGGAACTACGCATACCCGGAAGCTGGGTTTGAGCTCATTGAGACTTACTTGGACGGGGAACATCTTAAAAGTACAGTGTTTTAGCTTTACAGGTTCTCGAGTTATGAACTTACCCGAGAAAAAGTTTGGTGAACCCATGCGTAGGTACTACGCATGACGGAGGGCCGGGTTTGAGCTCGTTGAGAGTAATGTGGACGGCGAACACCCTTTTAATATTACAGTCTTTTAGCATCTCAGATCCTCGAGTTATGAGCTTGCCCGGGGAAAATTTTCGCGGGCTCGTACGCAAGTACCGCGCTTGCCCGAGGGCAGGTTTGAGCGCATTAGTACTTACTTGGACGGGGAACGTTCCCTTAAAATTTCAGCGCTCTAGCTTTTCTGGTTCGCGAGTTAGCAGCTTACTCGTGGAAAAATTTGGCGGGCTCTCACGTGGGTATCACATTTACCCGGGGACTGGATTTGAGCTCATTAATATCTTCTTAGACGGGGAACATCTCTTTAAGATTTCAGCTTTCTAGCATCTCAGATCTCCGAGTGGTACTCGGGAGAAATTTTTGCGGGCTCGTACGCGGGTACCGCGCTTGCCCGAGGGCAGGGTTTGAGTCCGTTGGCACCTACTTGGAGGGGGAACGTTCCCTTAAAATTTCAGCTCTCTAGCTTTTCTCGTTCGCGAGTTAGCAGCTTACCCGTAAAAAACTTTGGCGGGCTCTTACGTGGGTACCACGAGGGAA